TTTTTTCACACTAGACTGACTTTATATCTACTGACTGTAAGCATTAGAGTTATCTTATTACTTAATTATTAGGCCATCTTAGGTCTTCACTTTAACAAGTTAATGCTGTTCACAAGTTAGAGCACATCTCTCATCCTCTGATTAAATGTGTATCAATAAAAAATGTATACAAAGCTGATTAGACCTATTTTTTTTAATAAGTTTTGATTATTCTAGAAGAGAAACAGACCTGCTGCACACAGCTGGGTAAAATAGGAGTTTTATATTTCATATCCAGGCCCTCACGTTTATCCTGTCTACTCTGCTTTAATAAGATAACCTCAATCTTTAAGAGACAACCGGTGTGAAGTAAGTCCAACAGTGTGATGAATGTAACAAGATTTATTATAAGTTCGCATTTTACGATTTTCAGTTTTTTAAAATAAACATCAAAAAATGGTTTTGCAGGACAGAATGATTATTATAGCGCTAAGTTCACATTTTCCATACAAACTCCCTAAAACAGCTGTTCTGTTGGTGGCAGGAGGACAGTCTGCACTTAGCGAGGGAAGACGGTTTGCTGCTAAATGAAACGGCCAATTGTAGGAGAGCCCTTCCAGCCAATCAGATGCGAGAAAGGCAAGATGTTCCTTGGGCGTCCTACGATTCCAAATGACGTATCCAGGAAACAGCAGATAACGTCTCTACTAGTAGAAACTAACTTAACGACTAAAACATTCTCTCTCTCCTGATAATAACTTTTTGCTTTCCTTGACGTTGGATGTGCTACTACTAGTTTATCCGTTTAATTATAGATCCACTAGGATAAATACAATAAAATTTATCTTTCACCAAATAGAATATTTACTAAGACATCACAAAATAACTAAAGACACATTACTTGTCTTTGTGTGTGTGTGTGTGTGTGTGTGTCTTCTCCATCCCCAGTGAGTCGTGGAGGATGGCTGCTTATACTGAGCCAGGATTCTCTGGAGGTTTCTTCCTGTTAAAAAGGAGTTTTCCTCTCCACTGTTGCTGCATGCTTGCTTAGTATGAGGATTGCTGTATAGTCATTGATGCAATTTGCTGGGTTCCTTATATAGGAAACATTATTTCTGATTGGCTTAATGAACTGACCTGAATTGGAATGTTTATTATGTGAAGTGCCTTGAGACGACTCTTGTCGTGATTTGGCGCTTTATAAATAAACTTGAATTGAATTGAATTAACTGTTAGCATTAGCAACTCCACCGCATAGCAGAACTCCTCCAGGCTTGTGGAGAGCAAACAGAGTCAGTGGTAGAGTCGTGTTGCTGTTAGCCAATCAGAAAAGAGACGTCCAAATATCAGGAAGTGAGACTCTAGAAACCGCTGCCTGAAACTCTTCTCAGATGGTTCCTGAAACATCCGAGCATCTTTGCTTTGACTGTTTGTTTTCTTTAAACACATTTGGTCTTTTTCAAAGACAGACTAAATATTTCTGATCGCATCACTTCACCAAACTGGAATGACTTCACGACTTCCTCACATTTAGATTTAGCCCTCATATAAACTGTTTTAGGGCCGGTTAAAATCACGGGTCAGCTAAAACTTTAACTATTCAAGCCTGGAATTAAAAACAGTTATACTGACAATAAAGCCATGATTGGATTATAACATTTAATTTTTGTCCCTTATTTATTGTAGAAGACTTGCATACGTTTATAACAGGTGGAATCTGTAGCCCATTAACTTGAGAAGTTATCTCATAAAAGCTTGTGAAGCTGAAATAACGAGACTGCGAGGCTGATGACGAGTTTATTTAGTTTAAAGGCTTTTCTTTTATCTTCTTGTTCCGATCACGCACCGATGTTCCGTCAGCACGTCCAAGCCCGACCTTCCTTTTGGGTTACCCAGCTAGCTCCTCTGGTTCCATCCTGGACGACAGTAAAGGATGTCAGGCTGAAACCGGCCCAGCGTGTTTTATCAACACCTGAAACGCTCAACCAGATGGGGGGGGGAAGGTGTGTGTGAGCAGCAGAGAGATAAGAGGAGTAGAGAGTGTGTGAAGGGAAGATTGTGAAAAGGAGGTGGGGGGGGGGGGGGGGTATAAAATAGCAAACATGGTGATGCGGAGTGATATGTCGTCACGGAGGGAAAAAAAGGTTAATCCATTTAAAGTGCTTCATATGATCCCATAAGCTGAGCTGCAATGATAATATCTCCACAATGCCGCATCTACCCTTTAGGCAATTTCGTTGGAAAGGAGCACAATTACCCTTTAGAATACGCTGTCAAAGTCACGGGGGGTTTGCAACTGTCTGCTCATTACGAGTTACATTTGGACAATATGTAAGTGGCTGCTGGGGGTCAGCAGAACAAGAGATCACGAGACTGGAGCATAACGGTAATTAGATTAAAAGCCCTGTAATGGCTTTTGTTTAGGTTGAAATTAGCCTAATGGTTGCTCACAGTGGCACAAAGAGCTGCGGTACTGATTAAAAGAACGTGTGTGTGATTTCCCAAGACAAGGTGATGCGATGAGGGCTAACGGTGACCAGGAGTGGGTCCTGGTGTCGGCGTGTAGGTGTGTGTGTGTGAGTGTGTGTGAGCTTGCTAGGACTCCGACTGCAGGCAGCAGAAGTAGCAGTGGCTTCTATAGGTCGTTACTGTGATACAGACCGTGGCTGCTTCCTATGTGTCTAATGGACACGAGGGTGTTTGGACCATTAGGCTGCTTCTTTACGGCCATCTGGTCCCTCCAAAGAAACTCCTGTAACATCCGAACGTCGCACATCATTCTGGCCTCGGCCCAGCCGAGCCCAGTGTGTGCAGGCGTGTGTGGAAGTTTCTAGAAAAACTGAGGTTAGCTCCCGGTCGATGATAGAATCTGCAAATGGACACCGCCTTTTGCAGCAGGACAAGTCATTTTAGCAGCCTAATGGAATGTTACAGCGCTGGAATACAGCATGGAGGGAGATATCACCTTGTTCAATAGGAAGCGCTGTGAGCCGCGGTGAATCCTGATATTTCTATTTATTCACTCCTGCTGGAAGATGAAACTTATTTTCTGTGGAGGTTAACTCAGAGATTGCCAATATCTCAGACAGAGTTCACTGGAAGAGCTGGAATTCCTTCCTAAAACAAGAAGCAGCACAGGCTCTGGGTGCAGAACACACACACACACACACACACACACACACACACACACACACATTGGCTAAAAGGTAAATTTGCATGCTGTTTACAGCTTGTCTAGTACTCTGGTACCAACGCCCGTGTCTCAGATCGATAATTTACAACCACCTTTTGCATCCAAGACTTGCTTTTAATAAGCAAAGCCAGGACTCGTAAAGAAAGAAGAAAGCTTTACTAAATCAGCGGCCATCAGCCGCTGTGTGTGTGTGTGTGTGTGTGTACATGTGAATTTTTAAAGGAGGGACTTTGAGAGGGCAGATCGATCGCTCTTCTTTATACAAGATCTGCACTAAATCACGTCACTAAAGGCTGCAGGTGTTTGACATCGTGGATGAGGGAGGTTATGAGCAATAAGACAGACGCCAGAGCCCAAAAGAAACTTTCACCTCAAAAAATAAATATAAACATAACAGTTAGATGCATCACAGCAAGAGAGCAACGTTTGTAGTTAGCTAGTTAGTTAGTTAGTTAGCTAGTGAGTGTTTATTTCAAACCTGTATAAAGAAAATAATACATAATAATCAAATATGCAAAAATGAAAGATTCAGGAAAAGCTGAACTTTGATGAATTCTATTAAAACAAACTACTGACTGTGTGGTTGGATAAAAAGCACACTTGGATCCATGCATGAAGGATAAATATTCATTTATTTCTCACATTATTCATTTTAACGTTTTCCACCTCTGTGTTAATGCAGACACACCAACATATCCCAGATATCAGAGCTTCTCGGCCTATAGCAGCCAATCAGGGGATGGGTGGGCGTGGCCAGCTCCAGCTTGTTTTCTTAAAGTGACAGAGCCCAAAATTGGCTCCTCCTGGAAGGGACTGAGACTGTCATGAATGAAACTGCTGACATCACTTCGTTTAAGAGGAATTTCATAAAGATGTTTTGTAAAACCATTATAACCCTAAAAAAGGTCTCATTATCTCTCCTTTAGAGGACGCTTTTCACATGTACCATTTCCATCCAGGCTTTCCCACATAAGAAGGTATGTAATGAGATGCTGCAGCTCTTTAGGGAAATAGGATCCAGACCGAGGTGATTAAATTCATTAAAATAAACCATCAGGTGTCCAGAGGGGCCCTGGTCTTGGAACGAGTGCTATTTAAATGCTGTTTGTTGTTTCTGAAATAGAAATAAAGACGATAAATTTTTAAAAATCATGTGAAGATTTTACTATGAAATATTTTTTTGTTGCTGTAGAAAAAGTCATCGCCACCCGGGCAACAGATTTCTTGTTTGTCACACTTAAATGTTTAATATCAAAATTTAACACAAGGAATGATCCTGAGTGAATACAAAAACCAACCTAGCCCATTAATGAACTAAAGACCGCTTCTTAAACATGCATTTGATGTGACTGACCCTTGGAAAGCTTGGCTACGTTCCATGAGCCAAACCCAGAAACTAAAAGATCTCAAAAAGCAACACATCACATCGTGCTGTCAGGATAACTAAACCATAAAGCAAACAACTTATCTCACATTTACCTAAAAGCATCCTAATAATCCCAAAAACCTTCTGAAAAACTTGCCGTAGACTGACGAGACAACGTGGACTTTATGGAAGGCATGTATCCCTTGTTAGATAGAGAACATCATACCAAAGGTCAAACATGGTGGCGGTAGAGTGATGGTCTGTGGGTCTGCTTCATGCACGAGTTGCTGTGATTGACAGAATCATAAACATTCCCCAGCAGAAGATTCCTGAAGAATAATTTGCACCCGTTGACCAGAACACCTTCCAGTGTGACTAAATAAAAACATCCGTTAAAAGTGGAGGGAAATCTTTGCTGCAACAACGAGAGGCTCATCGCCGGTTTTCACAAATGTTTGATTGAAGTTGTCGTCGCCGAAGGTGTTGGGGTCAGCTCCTTTTCCACATAGAGCCAGGCGGATTTGGAATGAATGAAATCCTCATTTTTAATGACGCTGAACTTTGACCCTTAATCTGAAACCTTGATGTGAAATCTGTAAGGGAGCAGTTTTATTTTCCCAACATGAATGCGCATGTATATATAACCATAAGAGATATGTCCATTTACAATCGGTGATGCAGATCAAGTATCATCATTCATCTGAAGCTTTCACCCCCTGAACTTTTAAATACATTGAGTACAATTTTCCCAAATAAAGTGGGAAAAGTTTGTTTGTTGAAGCCAACATTTCCTAAACAGAGCAGCTTTCCGGTGGCCAAAGGCTGATCACAGCCTCGGTTCCTGGAGAGGACCAAGAAGTCCTTATCTCCTCAGCAGCAAGCTGCTTCAGACAGGCTGGGACAGCGGCTGTAGAGAAGCTGTGCATACTAAACATTCAGCCGCAGATAACAAGGGAAGAGGACGGGACTTGCCTCTCAGACACAAAGCGGAGCTCGCTGGAGTGAAAAGGTGAGCATTAAACTGAGAAACACGACATCTAGAGCTGCTTGGATTTCCCTTCTGTCTCCTTTGGGTTTGCAGCTCCTGAATCCACCCGAGCCCGTGTTTTCCCGGTTCCGTCATTTAACAAAAAAATCTGCTTTCTCATCTCATTCGAATTAGAATAAGCAGTGTAGCACATCTGAGCTTTAATAAGCTTCCATGTCCGCACTTCCAGTCCTGAAAATAAAATCTAAATAAAAACAAAGATTGGATGAATCATCTAGACGTCCTGCTCGAAGACTCAAACCATCAGGGCGCGTTCTCCGTAGTGTTCTTGTTCTAGAACGAGAAAGTTCCGACGTTGTTTGGGTTGCTGGTAAAACTTGTTGAAGCTATCCATCATAGCTGGGGAGACTCCCCCCCTCTGGTGGGACAGCTGTTTGGGCAGTGACACGAGCGTTCCAGCTGTGGCCTTACATCTGCTGCAGTGCTGCTGTTGACAGGGGCATCTGTGGCGTTGTGTAAAACAGTTGATAGTGAAGAGCTGTCTGCTGCAGACGCGCTGAGAGAAAGCACGGTCAGAGGGCTTGGAGGACGGCTCAGGTTCAACATTACACTTAGATCAGCTCAGATTAGGCTTCCAGCAGCTGCCGGAATAAAAATATGTCTGTTTTATCAAATAGGTGTCGCTTCTTTAATCAGGTCTCTGCTTCGAATGACTTCACAAAAGAACTTTCCTTTAGTAATCTTTATAGTATAGCTACCTCTGAAGGTTACTCACGCTGACATTTGTCACTTAGATGCTTTGCAGAGACCCGAAAATGTTTTCTAGGTAATTCCACTGGGTTTGTTAGCAGTAAGAGAAATGTGCAAAACTTCATTTAGATTCACGCTGAACTCCGAAAGCATGCTGCTAATAAAAAAATGGGCCCACGTGCTAATTTCACGCTGCTATTTAGTCACAAACTGATTTGGTTGACAAATTCTTCCAAAGTCGTTTCACATTTCTGTTCAAAACTAAATTCAAGGAGATGCATTATGACATTTTTATAGTTATAATAATTCTATGGTCAATACAAAACATGTTTATGGAGTTCTGGTCCCAAAAAGCAAAGCCAGCATTTTTATTCTTGACATTTTCAGAATGAGAATTTCTAGGACTCTGTCACTTTAAGAAAATGGCCACGCCCACCCATCCGCTGCTCAGGCTGCTATGAGCTGAGAAGCTCACACTTGGGAGGGGCTCGCAGTAGAGCCGCTGCTCCTCCAGCAGCAGCTGCTCTTCTTCAGCTGAGAGGTACTTCTAAGCTAATGTTGTTTTGAAACAACGTGTTTAAAGAACACCGTTCTTAAAAACTAAACACGGACTGGAAAT